GCATTAAGTGTCACTTAAAAAGCATGCATTTTAGTTAATGTGCATTAAGCCTGGCTAATGCACATTTTCCTAGTACCTTAGGCCATGTGTAAATGAAACAAGGGACATGTGTGCACGACACTTTAAAGTGAGCTAAATGCTATTGCACAGCTTTAATGGTGTTGGTGTTTGCATGCCTCTGCTGTATATTGTGCATTAATTCCAGCCGCTGTAGCAAATCTGGCATCTTAATGCACCTTAAATGACTTGGGGTACAGCAAACTAAAACTCCTCTGAGGAGTTTTAGTTTGCTGCCCTACAGCCGCAGAGTGAAGCACTGGGCTCCTTGCAGCTCAGGGGCTCTGCAGGAAGCCCTGCAGGCAGTCTGGCAGCAGCCTGGGAAAGCAGGCTCTGCCCAAGAAAAAAAGCAGCGAGCCTGATCTTTTATTTTTTTCCCCCTGGAGCTTGCCTGCCTGAGCTGCATGCGGGCCTGGTGCTTCTCTCCACTGCTGCAATGCCCCCTGGGACCACCGGTGCCAGGTGCCTGCAGGTGGGTGCCGCTGCTGCGGAGGGAAGCACCAGCCCCCCCCGCAGGCCAGGGACCTCTCTGCCCACCAGAAGCTCGCCCTCCCCTCCCTGCCACCAGAGAGGCAGGCAAGTTTGGGTGTGTGCACGACCCGGATTTAAAGGGCCCTAAATTAAAGAGGTATATTTAAAAACCCACTGCTTCAATTTATGGCCCCCGTTTCATCTACACACACTTACAATGGAGGCACTAGAATTAATGTGTATTAACTAAAGTGCAGTAATACACGTGTAGATGCACCCAGTGTGTACATGTGTGGCCCTATTAGGCCACAGTAAACAAAAAAATGTCACCATAGGATTGTACCTGTAAATACAAGTACTATCCTACTGCAGTGTTCTTTAGTGTGTAGCAACACACATGTAAATGCTGATGGGGCTGGATGGGGCATGAGGGTGCTTCAGTGTGGGGGCTGCATGCAGGCTAGCCCTGCACAGGAGCACACTCATGCCCCAGCCAGCCCCTCTGCAACATGTTGAGCGGAGCCAGAGGAGTCCTGGGCTGGCAGGCTGACCACTCCCTCAGACCTCCTGCCAGCTGGGGCTGCTCCACCCTGGCTCAGTGCGCTGCAGTCCCGGGTGCAAGTTCAAACGCAGTGCTCGGGAACAATAAACGCCAGTGTAATATGCGCCAGAGTTTATCGCTGCATGTTAATTGCATATCTAGACACATTCACATTAAGGTTGTTAAACTCACGGTACCCAGTATAATCCTTGTGGCTGTTCAAGTCATAGCATGAAAGAAACATAGAGGTCATTGATAGCTTTGCACCAGCACATGTGAAAGAAACAGATGTACAATTTAACATGGATCAGATAATGTATTTTTCATATATAATCAACAAGGAATGTAGTTTTAAATACTGCAAAACTGGGACTTTTTTAAAATGGTAAAACGTATGGAGAACACTGAAAACAACCATGTATTTATAATCATATATTGTAAAACATTATACTCATGCATTTCCCATAAAGCTGACACTGCTGAGATAGTAAACCTGAAAGTTAATAGAAAAATAGATTTGTTCCTGTAGGACTCTTCCTTATTCCTGAGGCAGCTGTGAGGGGAAGGAGATAACTTGCAGGAGGCAGAGGTTAAAAATGCTCCATAAAGGGGTTTGCTTATGAAAAGCTTGTTATAGTCCTTAGTGCCTTTTGTCTCTACGAATTTGCTGTAAAAGAACTTTCTTCTTGACACTCCTGGAGAAGATTGTCACTTTTTCCAACTACACCCAGATCTTTAGATAACTAAATAGAGCTAGATTGCATTTAACATGCTTTGGCACCTAGCCCTATTTTCTGACTTACAACCAGCACAATAGGGTGGTGTCACAAACATTGCGACAGCTAGCCAAATGCCAACTGGGTACCAGATATTCTTGAGCCACTTGTCATAAAATCTAGGCCGGGGTGTCAAACTCATCTGGCCCTACAGGCCAGATGACTGGCATGGAATAGGCCCACGACCCCTCTGCCCACACATGCCAAATCTAGCACTTGCTCCAGCAGGTCCAGGATAGCACCACATGCAGCACCCAGTCCAGCCAGTCTGGGACCCATGCTGCACACAGCACACATTCTGGACTGGGTGGAGTGGGCATTGCTTGCAGTCCAAAGTCCCAAACTGGTGAGAGCAGACACCGGGTATAGCAGTTGCCACATGCAGTGTAGGTCCTGGAGCAGGCACCTCAGGCCCTTTGACACCCCTGGGTGCTACCCAATGACATAACAGAGCAGCTAGCCACCAGGGGTAGCTGCAAACACACAGGGGTAGCAGTTACCAGTTTCCCATTACCAGTATGGATTAAAATACACCCCTGCACAGAGGACCAATGTAAGACCAATTCACTAGCTTAGTCACTAACATCTTCCTAATAGGGCTTAAGTGTGTGTTATGCATAGTCTGTTTGAACAGGGAAAACTTCATACCTGTTCCTTAGGATGGCTTGAAAAATGTAAAAATCCTTGGCTGTAAACTGTAAATGCACAGGAGTGGCAAGAAACAATTTTGCTCTATTTTATTCCTGTTCACATCTCCAGATTTTCCTCTATGATACGGCAGGAAGTGTGAACGAAGAAGTCAGCTTCAGTTTAGCAAGCTAGATACCAGTCCCAGTCCACATGGATTTATGCAATTAATTTCAGTGTCCAAACAGGCCCCTAATCTAAACTAAACAATAATTTTTTTGGATTGTAAAAATGACACAAATCTGTTTTAAAAGTTGCTGCTTAAGTGTGTTTTAATAGGCACTTTTTCAATTCATCATTTCTTTTTCTGCTTTACCTCAGACACTCTTTTTAATGCAACTTAGTCACCAACCCCAAGGTTCAGGGGACTTGGAACCCTATGGAAGTTTATTGAGACCAATGGCTGACAACAAATCAGAAAGCTGTTTTCAAAATAATAAATGTCTAAAGCAGGCCACACCCATCAAATAGAGCCATGGAACAGGATTTCCATTACTTAGAATTCAAAAGCAAGGTTTTCCATGGACGCAGGACAGCCAGACACTGTTTCACAGGCTTCAATATCTCCAATGGGATGAGATTTCCAGGGTCTAAGTTTTTGTGAAATGGATTTGCTGTGTGTTTCAGCTACTTATAGTCTTGCATTAGAAATCTGGAAATGTTCCATGCAGAATTTCTGAAATAGCTAACCACATTTTCACCAATACAGATCAAATGAAGGTGCAGTGAGCAGGTGGCAGCAGTACCATAACTAATGCAGGGTGACCAGGGCAGCAGCCAGGAACACCAACTTGGTTGTGGTGGGGGGTGGAAAAATAACAGCTGTTCCTGCACCCACACAATTGCGCTGGCAGCAGCAGACAGAAATCACTGCTACTCCTGTGTGTTTGTAGCTGCCCCTGGTGCCTTGCTGCTCTGTTACATCTCTAGGTAGCACCCAGAAGAGGCCACTAATGAAAAAATCCTCTATACTGAGATTTTTACGTTACCCAAAGGCAACGTCAACAGCAGTTTCTTAGTCCTGAAAGTCTGGATAGAGTCTGCTGCAACAAAACTTAGCTCAATGCTTTTTTTAGTGGTAGGTAGGCCACACATCACAAGCATCTAAGAAAAGAGTATGAAATAGACTGATAGAAGCAAAGCAGATTTTTCTAGGATGAGCTAATAATATTTGACCTTTTTAACTAGGCAAATAATATTGTCCCCAGGAGGTACACTCAGAAGGTTAGAGTCTCCTTAAAACTAACATTTATATGGTACAATTTGGGGCTGAAGGGCCAGAATGACAGCCCTCACCAACTGCAGGATCTATCTGGCTCTGGGTCTTTGTGACACTGTTGGCCAAAGAGGTACCAGGATGCAAATATTTGCAGTAGAACTGGAGCAGCCACACGTCTTTAATTAGCTGGTTACCTTTTTTTTTAAAGTTATTTTAAAAAATGTAGCTGGACCCAGCCATTCCCAATGCTGACTACATTTCTATTTGGCAGATTCTTATTTGTCACTGGGTTATTACCTTGGTTGTTATTTTTATTACTCTTGTTTTTATTCTTATTACTGTTGTTATTGTTTACGCTATTATATTATTTTGTTGCTATTGTTATTACTATTATTGATATTTTTATTACAGCTGTTATGTTATTGTTGCTATGATTGCTGTTATTATTACTGTTGCTCTTGTTATTCTTATTACTGTTGTTAGTGTTATTATTGTTGTTAAAATAATAATAATAATGATCATGGTGGTGGTGGTCTTGGAGCTGCTCCCATTTTTTCCTGTGGCCCTGACATAGAGGGGTTGGATTTGTGGCATCCAGGTACCAGATGAGAGAGAGAGA